AATAAAAAGCGAATGATTCCTCTGCAAACGCGGTTCACCAGAAAGCAACGAGAACTAGACTGCCCCAGCAGTGCTGTGGTAAGTCGCTTAATAAACAAATCAAACTGAGACAGACTTTCGAAGCGCATGCCTCACTCGCATTCAACGCATGCATGTTTCCGTGTTAAGGCGCACTCAATGCGACCAAAGATGTTCATGTGCGAGTCCACCCCTACGTCCGGCGCATACGTGATATTTCTTACAGGCGCATAAGCCAGACGTTGAACACGGGTTGCGAACCAAAAAGCTGTCATTACAAACGGCATTCAGAATCACCTTTCGCAGCCAATCTCGGTTAAGCGACCTAAACACAAACACCGGAGAACTGAGAAGTCAAAGGCACGTTGGCGTGTTTTTATGGAAAAAAAGAACCTTAGTTGTGAGTTTGATTGATGGCACTCTCACACCTACGTTTTGAAAGCGCCATCAATAAATGCGTACATACTCAGGCTCACTGCCAGAGCCTCGACCTTGACGAACGTAATCGGCGGAATTAGAAGCAGAGTGTAAGAATTCGGTGTTGCGAAGAAGACTAGAACGACTGACAGATGCAAGGGCCAGACTACCTAAAGGCCTCTCATGTTGGATTACTTGATGGACCGGCGTAACTGTGGACAGTCTGGAGAAATTGCCTGTTAAAGCCCCAAAAGACGCGGGTCCGTTTGAAGTGATGGTCCTCAAAACAGTAGGATTAAATAAGCACTTTGACAGACATAAGGTTTCAAAACATCTAGTAATACCAACCGAAAGGGCACGGACCCTTGAAAGGGCAAAAGCCGCGTAGCACGGTTCGGAAACGGTCGAAACAACAAGGGCTTACCGCTCAAAGAAAGAAGTACTCAAGTTTACACTCAAGAAAGCTGGTGACGTAGAACTTCCAGAGCGTTGATGAGTCATACCTTCAGGCTGATTAACAAAGCATGGCGAGCGCTCAGATGATAAGAGGCTAACCTTCGTAGTGTTCAAACCGAGTGGAAGAGTGAAAGTTGGCTTGGTGTCACCCATACAAAAAGCTGTGTGCTTTATTCAGATTCACAGAAGAACAACTGGGCAGCCAACAGAGCATCACGCTGCCACAATATTTTACCTACCCAGTCACTGGTGACGGTATTGAGGTCTTTCCAACAAAAAGGCCGTGAGCAAAAATGGAGACCACGTTTTTTACACATTTCTTTCGACTGACGGCGAAACGCG